TTGTTTTCTTCTCTAGCTTTTGAGTCAGCTTCAACTTGACTAGCCCAGTCTAAACTAGACTTTTTTGTTGCTGTGTTTACTGCTATGTATGCCTCATATTTGCTGTTTACAACTTTGCTGATTTTTGGAACTGTAAAGTTCTTCTTGTTTTCTTCAGTCTTTACAAGCTTAAAGACTCGGTCTTTACCAGTATCTGCTTTTACTTTTTTGTATAGAAGCTTGCTCATAGCTGTTAACAGTAGTTTATACTTTTTGGGAGTTATGTATCTTTCTCCACTTGAGTTTGTAAAGTGAACTGTTTCTTTTTGCTGTGAAATTTTGTATTTCTATAAGTTCAAGAGACAAACCAGAAAGAGTTCAACTTTTGATTATTCTATCTTCTTGTAACATCTTGGTGTTCTCAAATTTTATCTTTTTGTTTTCTGCTAAGATTGCTGTTCTGCCTGACCAGATTGAATTGAAAGACTATTGGTTTTTTAGAAATTGTTGAGTTGCATTATTGAAAGTATTAGTTTCCTGTAAAAGAATAATATCTAGTCTATAAGATTTTAACAGTATCAAAGTTTTAAGTTATTTGTTTATATTATTTAACTCTTTAACATTTAGGATAGCTATCTTGATTGATGTATTGTTCATGATAAGAGTTAATAGGTTTTAAAGCCACCTTGTGCTTTTGGTCTTAATCCATTTTGTTGGTTTTTTTTTGTTAGAAGTTTTGTAAGGTTTTGATTCCTTGTGTCTTCTTTTTTTATGCACAACTAAGGTAAAAGGCATGTTTTCAGTATTTTCTTGGTGTTTAGTTTGGAGACTTCACAAATCTGTATTGGTTTCTTCTGCAAACATATTTTCTGTAAGATTCTCTAAGTCTCCTTCTTCAGAAGGTAAAGCTTCTTCATTAATAGCCATGTTATCTTTTTGTGTTTCTTCCTCTAAGTCAGCTGTTTGTTCTTGAGGAGTTTCTGGTTCTATATCAGTACTTTGTACTGTTTTTTGCACTAATGGAGATTTCTCAATGATGTTTATATCATGTTCCACTGAGCTTTCATTAGAAGTTTCAGTTTGGGCCTTTCTGTTTTTGAATTCTTGAAAGTGTTTTCTTAATTCTCTTGCTTCTTAAAACTGCATACAATTTCTTTTGATATGGCCAGTTTGGTCACAGAAGTAACATACTTTTGGAACTTCTTTTCATTCAGTAGTTACCCTGTTGTTTTCCACATAGGTAAAGTGAAGAATTCTTTTTTCTAGTTCTAGATCATCTGTACTGTCAAAAATAACAATCCATTGGTCTGTCAGGTATGGCATGCCTTCAATAAGCAAAGATTTAAAGAGGCAATTTTTCCAAAGTTTTGAAAGGCTTCTTTAACTTGGTTAGAGATATATTCTTTAGAGCCTAGAGGCACATTTCTGACCTTAATTGGTAAAAAGGATTTGCATGCATTTGTAGGAATATATCCATAATATGTTTCTTTGAAGATTTTGATACCGTTTGTTGCATAATGCAATAGTCGATCTTGGTTTGGAAATATGATTTCGAGGTGAGACCTCAACTCTTTTTTAAAATGTTGCTTGACTGCAACTATGTCTTCTCCCATGTCTTCATGTAAGGAGACCATAATTTCATTAAGAGAATTACAAAGACCAGAAATTTTAACAATTAACACATTATTGTTTTTGGATCTGATTTGATTTTTAGGGGAAAATGCTACAAAAGTTGATTTTCTATGTCTCAACTTGGCAGATAAGCTTGTGCCTTGTTTAGTAATTGATGCATAACTTTAGGTAACCTTGTATGCTGATTGCTTGTTAGAGATATTGTTGTTGTCATGTTCTGCATCTAACATATAACTGTTTTTGTTATTGTTTTCTTTTTATTGTTTGTTTCCTTCATAGTATTGTACATGTTTTCTAGAGCCTAAGGATTGTTTTCATTTTGGTTAATATTCTTTAGCCAGTCTTCTTTGTTTTGGATCACTACTACTGGGACTAAATTATTTTCTATTGCTGCCATCTCTTCTTAAGCTATTGTTGTATTATTAAGTTTTGGTTTGATTTCTTTTTTTATAAAAGAGTAATTAGTTTCTTTCTCTTTCTCTTTTCCTAAGTCAAGTTTTTTTATTTTAAAGATTTTTTCAGTTGCTAGAGACTCTACTAGTCAAGGGAGCTTTCTTTTTCTTGAAACAAGGACTTTAGCCCTTGATAGTATCTTATTTTTAGAGTTTAGGTTTCTGTTTAATGATTTTATGATTGCGATTTTCTATTTGCCTTTCCTGATCAGTGATGAATAGAAAAGAGTTTTTTTTTTTTTAGAAATTACATTTAGACAGTAGAATAACAGAAAAACCAAAAAACAAAATCATAAGATCTTTAAAATTTGGCTGAACAGCAAAATGAGAGAATCACTAGTCTGTAAAAAAGCAAAAGGAATAATTAGTCAAATAGTCAAAAATCTCAAATATAAAAAAATAACAATAAGCCAAATTATATACATAAACAATACAGTAATAATCCCAAAATTAGGATACCTTTTGTAGCTAACAAAGATGTCAGAAAAAATGATTGACAAGATCTACCAATCGATAATATGTTTAGCCAAACATAAGTGCAACATAATGAAAACTACAAACAACTACACAATTAAGCACAAAAATTTAGAAAATTGCAAATCATTATGCCAAGAAATAGCAACAAAGCAAATAAGTAGTTTATTTACAAGACTTAATAGAAAAGACTCTCTAGGTAATCTAACAAAGCTTAGAATAGTACAAGAGTGCCAAAGAGCAGGCTTAATAAAAGACATTTGGGAGTCAAAAAGAAGGCCAGAAGAAACAAAGTATTGAAAACACAACTTAGCTTGTCAAACAATAGTTAAGACAAAAGAAATAAGAATAAATATTAGAGCAGAAAACTACCAGTAGAAAGTTTACAGTTATGAAACAAGAATAAAAGACTTAGTTAGACCCAAATCTTGAATAGCAAGTAGCAGCACAATAAATAGATGAAGTCTACTATACTTGAACCAACTCATAAACATGAAAGAAGAGAGTCTAATCATATAAAGACAGCTCAAAAGTCTCCAAGAACTTTCATGCAAAGAGAAAAAAGCTAAATAGTTCAAGGAAATAGAAGAAATAATGTTAATAATACAGACAAACAGAGTAATATATGATTAATATAAAACCAATAACTACAATACACAAGCACTAAAGATTTTAACTAAATATTGGCTTTTGTGAAAAATAGAAGAAAAGACACACACAGAGATAAGTAAATGCAAGAGGTGTAAAAATGAAACAGACCAATTAACAGATAATTATAAAAAATAGATAAGATGGAACAATAATAAAAAGCAATCCCAAAAACACTAGTAGAAAAAAGCAGTAACAAGATTAATGCAATATTAGAATAAATACTAGAAAACAGAACAATGAAAGAATAGAAAAAAAGGGAAGACTAATTGAACTGAAACAATAGAAGAACTCAAAATAAAATTAATTAAAAAGCAAATATTAAATAGTAAAATCACAACATACTTAATGGAAGTTCTAACAAGAAACAAGATAAGAAACAAAGACAAGTATATCTTTTATACAGATGGAATATTATATAAAAGAAAAAGAGAAAATAGTATAGAAAGAATGAACATTGGCTAGGCACAGATCAATAATGAAGAAAACTGGCCAGAAGAAAAAATAGAATTAGGACTTGAAAACTGACCTTTAGCAACAACAGCAGAACTTGCAGCAATATGGTCAATAATTTTGATCATTTCAGAAAAAAAAAATATAGAAGTACATATAGATAGTCTTGCAGCACTAAGAAACATTAACAGAGCAATTCAAAGGTTAGAAGATGATAAAATTCTTAAGAAAAATACAATGTAGATAATGAATATTGTGGATTTGGTCAAAAGCAAGAGTAACAGAATCAAGCTAGTTAAAGTTAAGAGTCATATCAATAATAAGTGAAATAACAAAGCAGATGCATTTGTAAAAAAAGGAGCAATATGTAATATGATAATATCTATAGAGAAGATTAAGTGTAACAGAATAGAGTATTATTTGAAATAGGAAAACAAAAAAGTTGACATATCAGCATAACTTTTTTACAAAATAGTTGTGAATGCCAAAGTGGGAGCTAACTGAAGAGATATGAATCTGATTCAAGTGTTAGAACCAGAAACAAAAAACACTCAATATAATTGGTCAAGCTTTTGGAAAAAGATGAATAAAACAAAAGGCATACACTGCATGACAAGAAAACTTAGTACAAGAAGAGCAATAGTAATTAAATGTATAATAGATGACCTATCAACACTAGAAGAATTAAACAGAAGAAGACCAAAAATATATATGTCTTCAGATTGCCAAGTATGTCTAATAGACGAAAAGAAAGCTCAAGCATATTTGACAAACTGCAGTGAACAAAAGAGTTTGTGAAAGAGAATTTAAAAGATAGCAATAGCAACAGCATAAAATAGCCTTAAAGAGAACAAAAAAATCAGAATTTCATCTCAAGTGTTATATGAAGCAACTTTTGAAAAAACAGAAGCAAAGGAAATTATTAACAGAAAAGCATTAATAAAAAGGCTAATTATGAACAATAATAACAAAAACAATATAGAATACATTCTATAACCAAGTATGGAAAGTTTAATGTGGAAAAGTATAAGAATGAGAAAAGAAGATAAACATAACAAGCAAAATGAAAAAATGCTTGAATTAGAAAAAAGCCAGAGAAAAGAACAAAGAAAAATAAATAAACAAAGAAAAAAGAAAAAAACAAGAAAATAGAAAAAATAAATTAAATGAAGAAAAAAGCTTGAAAGACAATTAATATGCTTGTTATGAAAGAGGAAAGACTCTTTTAGTATAGCTTTAAGTAGTTAAATAAGCAGTTTATTTCTAACTAAGATAGTACAACAGGTTGCATTTAGGTACCAATAGGATGGCTGAGTGATGCTAGACTTAGATATTGAGAAATTCTATATAATTATAGTATATAGTTTCAAAAATCTTAATAAAGTACTAGCATAACTGCTTAAAGTTTAAAAAAAAAAAATAACCTAGCTGGTTATAAGAACAAAAAAATTAACTTTATATAACCTAATTGTTAAAATATCTTGTTAAAGTTTAAAAAATTAAACAAATAGTTTACAAAAAAAAATAAATACATTAGATGCTAAAGAAAAAACCAAATTAACAAAAAATTAATTTTTATATTATAAAATTTATATTATAAAAAAATACAGATTTTAAAAAATTATACTGTAAAATTTTATTAATGCAATAGTATTTTTTTTTAAGTAAAAAATAATTTCAAACTAATTTTAAACTATCTAAGCTTAAAAAATTTATTTTAAAGTATATACTAAAACTCTTTCTGTAGATCATTGAAAAAACAAAAAAGTAAACAAAATCAGTACTAAAAGATTAAACATATTAATTAAAATAGAACAAAAGATATTTAAAAAGAGAGAAAATAAACTCTCAGAACACCTAAGTCTAATTCAACATAACCAAAAGACAAAGAACCTCAACCACTAAACTACAAGACTTCAAAACTTCTTTTAACACTGACTCAGTACTGCTACCTTCACAGATGGATCTCTATAGGGCCCCAGTTCAACTAAACACCCAAACTACATTAGTTACACCTTAAGCTCTCTCTATTGAAAAACCTAAAGAAAATGCAGAACTAGAAACAAACTTCCCTTCTTTAAAAAAAAATAAAACTAACAACTCTAACTCTTTTATTTTCTTTACACCCTATTCTCATTGAAAAAATTTAACAAAAAGTGGGCAACCCAGCTTACCCTTTACAAAATCTTAAATGATGTCACACACTACAGCCATTAAAACAAACATGCCCAAATCAGCAAATATTCCCATACTCCAAAACTTCAATATCATATTACCCGATCCATCATACTTGACATCTGTATCTAATAGTTTTATTCCAGAAAACAACCTATAGAACCCTGAACCAATTACATTTACAGAAAATCTACCAACTCAATCAAGCTTGATGTTAATTATGCATACTGACA